ATTTGTGGTCGTACATGCGCCACACGCGCTGTCAATGTATAGTGATTGGACTTTTCAAGAATGCGATAATGTGAAGATGGGCAACATGTTCTGACACCGTTTGGCAGGTCACATAACAGCTTTGTGTTTCAAAGCGTGCCCAATGGCCGAAGACTGGATACCATGCCCACCATTTGGACTACCACGGGCGGGTATTTATGGTCCGTCAGTGGAACTCTTAATTGGCAAGTCCCACTCTCACACCAAACTCAAATCAACGCTCGATCTCTGAGGATGGAGATTGCAAGGGCTTAGAGAAACAGCTCATCGACCTCCGACCAACGCGGCCGAGCGTTGCAGCTGCCAATGGCTCGGAGCCTGCCGCTCGATGTTAGCCCCTCGACGTTCTTAACAGTGCCTGGGCTGAGCTGATCTGCGGGGTGGTGCGAGGAGAAATCCGAAATTGATTCGGACAGGTGCAACCTTTCGACTTTCTCTATTCACTCGAGGCTGGCTGTGCATTCATAATGCGCAGGTGACCTCTTTGACTAACAGATTCCCTTGTTCGGACATGTTCCCTGGTGGGGCTTTTCATTAAAGGCTATACTCCAGCAACATGCTCTTCACACGCAAGTAAGCTCAAAAAACATAGTCATCAGTTTCGCCACGTGTTTGGGGAAGAAGCTGATGCTATGACCCTGCAGGCAGGTCATACATCTCAGTTTGTATGTGATCGCCACTCCGGCGCCTGCATGAAAGTCTCCGTTTAGTTGAGCAGCTCGGAAGATTGCCAGATCTAGGGTCTGGAGGAAAACTCACTCTGACGGTTTCAGTGTCTCGCCAAACGTGAGACCTGCCAGTGCCACCATTGTCCAGGGATGATGCCGCCCAGCCTCAGATACGCGCAGAGTCCTGGTGCGCAAGCACAGGGTTGTTCCTCAGGGCACTATATTCACTATCTGAGTGGTTTGTTTGGTGGGTTCAATCGAAGCCTCTTCTGCAAAATTGCCATTACAAGGCACGTGAGCCTTCACGTGAGCCTTCACGTGAGCCTTCACGTGAGCCTTCACAGGAGCCTTCACAGGTCTTTAGGGTGGGATTGTGTCACTCTTGGGCTGCTTCCGGTTGAGTCAATTGAGAGGTGCGCTGGCTGGTGTGTTCCAACTGAAGATGTAAATGGTGGATCTCTTCCTTGGAATCGGTTTGCCACAGCGACATGACTTTCCCACGAGCGGGCGGCCATCTGGTCCCCAAACATAAATATAACCAAAGATTGAAGAGATATATGAATAGATGGAATTTCACCTTTGACCTGCCACCGCTAGTGACAATGCTTCGAGAACCATGTACTTGGTCGTTGCCAGCTTGTTATCACAGTTTCTGTTTTGCTTCGCGGGTGAGTTTGACAGAAACAACGCCTTTTATTGCAAACGCGCAGTCATCCTCAAGTAGATCGACGCTGAGCAGCTGGTTGTTTAGTTAAATGGTGTCCCTAGTTGCGCAACCTTTTGATATTGAAGAATCCATATCCACTTTCCCTTTGTATTCCCTTTGTTTCAATCCTGTTTCAGATGGTATATATACTACTCCCTTTTCCGAGTCTCCTTGCCAGCGGCATTCCGGGCATGTCCACTGTTCGGCGGTTGTCCAAGGCAATCTCCGCTGCTTTAGAGCGCCCCCGCAACGCCTCACCCTGGAGACGCGCTGCGGCTCTGTGGGCGAGGAGGTGCCGGCACGCTGGCCGGCGCTATCTCGCCGGAATGAATCCGCTCGCCCCCGGTCGCCCGTTGAGTTTTGGTTTGGGGAGGCCATACGACGTCCTCACCGGCGCGGCTCCCACGTTGTTGGCCATGCTTCTCGGCCGCTTGGCGTGTCGGCCTTCATGGGTGCCAGAAAGATTGGTAGTTGTATTCAAGATTCAATTTGGCCGGGGGGACGTTTTTGGCCGATAGGTATGTTTGAAGCTATTACTGACTATGATGTTTTAAACAGTTTTAGGTTTACTTGCCAGAGGTGCTTGGAAAGAGGACGTTCTTGTGTGGGTGGTGTGTCACTTTCTCAAGTTTCAAACTTTTGAAGAGCATTGCGCCTTTTTGATCACGCTACTACTCACTAGGAGAACTACCCACACAGTTGGACTCTATACTATGGACTGACGCCGGGCGTAGCCGCCCACTGGTTTACGGCCGGGGTTCTTGGGTGCTCCCTGATTGGTTGGAGGGGGGTCTCAAGACGGCCCAAGGAGTTGGACTCACTTCTTGGTCATGAGGAAGCCTTCGCCGATGACAATGATCGACACGGCGTTTGTTGGAGCCTGCTATCGCATTGTGGGAAGTCCGTCCCCGAAAGACCGTAAAAGAAGCCTTTTGTACAAAGAATGCGTCCGCACGCATGTTCCGGAATTTGAACCTGTCGCGGCCGTTTGTAGGTTGGCGTTCAATAATCTAGCCAGGGAACATACCGAGTTCGCAGCGTGCGGACTATATACTTTATGTTTTGCAGCGCGCGCAATGGCCGAGCACAGCGCAACCAACGACGAGGAGACCACCGGTCCGACGACTTGGGCAACTCCCAACAATACTGAAACTTTGAGCTGTGCAACTGAGAAAACCGATCAGATTCGCGGTGAAGGCGGTTCCCCACTTCAGCGACTTGATCCACGTTAGATCCCAAAACTCCCTCATGGGCGCTCTCAATATTTACTGTGTTTGTATGTAGCACTTCCAGCGCTTTTGGGGTGGCAGAGGCAGAAACCCCAGCAGGAAGCCTGCGCGAAAGGAGCGTCATACACTCACATGTCTTGCTCCGCTTTCATCAGAGGCAAACGGAAGGGTAGTGCGCAGAAAGGGTTTTGCAAAAACCTATTCTACTAACATCGTGGAAGGCGTGGGACATTCGTAGAACCCAAGGCTATTCGTGGACAGTTCGTGGAATGGTGGGCCAGTAGGAGAACTGACTGCAAGAAATTCCAGAAACCTTCGCAGAACTTCGTGGAAGGTATTTTTGATGCACTAACTTCGTCTAAGCGATTTTTGCTGACCCCCTTTCCCCACTCATTTCAGAGCGGCGTGCGCGCTGCATGAATTCCTTATAGGCCATTCCATCTCCACAGTTCCCACTCAGGATCCCATGTCCACCCTTGGGACCACAATGGCCGGGTATTCAGTCCGTCTTGGCAAGTCCCACAGTCTCACACCAAGCAGACCCAGTCGCTCAAATCAACGCCTGATCTCTGAGGATGTTTAGTGGAGGCTGAATTGGAGAAGCAACTTCTCCGCGGCCAAGGCGACCCAGGCGGCCGATCGCCTGCTACCCGCCGGTGTCAGGCTTGATGAGACCCACAATTCCCTCCTGCGCGGGTTTGTAGGTTTGTTGCCACTGCGCTTTTGACATTGATATTTCAAGTTGGCGCGCAGATTGCCTTCACCAAACCGCTTCTTGTGCACTTTTGGGTGAACGCTGCAGCCACGTGCCATCTTTCCTCCAAAAACCTTTGCAGAAATCATAGTTGCTCTTCATATTCCAATGATGGCAATGGTTTCGTTAGTCATGTGTCTAGTTTGGGCGCTAAAGTCTTGGAGGGAGCCCGCCATGCTCGGGAGCCCGCCTTGCTCGCGCCAATCGTTGCGCTGTCGCAGGTCTTCGGTATGGAATGGGGTGCCATTGGCTGCGGGAGATGGGTACGGAACGCCGCAGGCGCGTCCGCAGTGCCAAGAGAAGCCGAGGTTGAGCGGCAGTACAAGTCAACCCGGTAGATGTAATTATTACGTGAATGTGTATAGCACTGTTCGGTTCTAGTCAGGTTGCCCTCGAAATTCGAATGCTTCAAGGAGAAGAGCAAATCTTTTTTTACGTGTGCTCCGCCTATGGGCTCACGCTAAACATCCTTGTTGAAATCCAAGTTCGAGCGACTTCAGGTCAATTCATAAGTGGACTTCGTTCATGACCAACCCCATGTCCTCAGAGCAACCTCAGAAAGTGTCAGCGACCGCACACCAACCAACAGGGCAGGAAGGGTGGAGCCATGGATGCTCCAATGATCCGGCGAAACGCAGCGGCAGCGGTACGGTTGCCATCGCCGGCTAAGAGGGTCGTCAGGAAAAGAAAGAGGGTGGATGAGACTAGTGCCAGACCAGAGCTGAGGCAGAACAAACTGGCGCGAATGGTGGGTGTCTCCAAGCTGCGGGGGCGGGTTTCGAAGTTGGGAGCAGCCGCGCGCCCAGCTGAAGATCCCAAGCCTGCGGAGCGCTCGGAGTGCAAGACCTTAGATGATTACACAGCGGCAGACAGTCTCCGAGACCGACTTTTGAAAGGAAGGTCTCCGGAAGTTTGCTTGAAACTCATGTCTTTTCATGTGTTGATGCCGCTGCCAAGTGCACCAATCACAGCCCCTGTGCAGCCGGCAAAGGGCCTGTCTGCTAGGTACCTTTCTTCTTGGGTGTTGATTCTTGAAGCGTTCACACGAAGGGGAGTACTTCAGGCAGATGTGGCACCGCTGTGTAAACAAACGAGCCAGGCTGGAACAGGGACTCATTACTACCTTGGCCCCGCTGAAACTGTGAGGCAGTCAGAGCTGACGCAAATTGGTTTCCACTTTCGGGCTACCGCAGTGCAATCTAGGCAAGCGTTCTTTGAAGAAGTTCCTCGCGTACGTGGGAACATTATTCCAGAGCTCTCAGAAATGGTGGCGCAAGCAGCGAAAGTCGCAGAGCTACAGAAAGAGCAGCCTGCGCACCCCCTCCCCCCCCCAAACCTACAAGACCGACATTTGCCAAGCCACGCCAGCAGCCGCCAAACACCATGTGACCTTGCGCCCGGGTCATGTTGTAAAGCCACGACGTGACAGGGGTGACGTGAGGTTCTTGCTGCACCTACCCACTCCCGTGCCCATAGAAGCAAGACCCCACAGATGCCACACTTGTTTGCGCGGGGAACAGGAGGCGCAAGACACGCTGGACTCTGGACCAAATTATTTTTCCATCACAGATGCTGACTTGGCCGCAGCTGCGCAGGAAATTTGTCCCAAGGCCCGCGTCTTGAGGACAGCAAAAGATGGTCTCATCCTGATCTCCCCATTATGCCTTGTATATCTTCTGCAAGCTTGGTACGAGGAACTCAATGTCCGACAGGTCCGGCGACGCCTTGCAGATCTCTACGCTGCGAACCTGCTAGCTATGAGTGCTAACTTACCTTCACCAGACTTTCTCATGTGGGGTTTGTCAGCGGTGCCACACCCTTCTGCTTTGAAGGCCATCCTCTTTAACTTCTTTGAGGGCTTTGTTCGGCGCAGAGTCGAGGTGTTGGTAGACTGGTGCGCTGGTTGAAGTTTGCAATTTTTGCGCCCTCCTTTTCTGTTGTTTTGGGGAATGGTTAGTTTGTTCTCTATTTTGCCAGCCCAGCTTCCCTTTTGAACCCAATACCAACACGTCAGGCAAATGCTGATGAATGGTCAGGGAATCAGGTTTGATGGGAACTTTGACTTGCCCCTGCAAGTTTGCCAATACAAGGACTTAATAAGGGCCAAAGCCTACGACGTCGTACAAAACCTTGCCACCGATGTGTACCACATTAACTTCTGTATGCTATTGTACGCTGAATTGCCAACATCGTACCCTGATTGTCAGGACCAAAGGTGGATAAGGGTGCATAAGGTCGCATTTGCATGGTGTGGTGCTGACGGGTCCTTGCTGAAACCAATATCTCTGGCGAAATCCGAAAGTATGCCAGAGATTGAGCGTGACTTCAAGCCGTGGATCCAAAGGATGCAGCAAGTGCGCCAAGAGCACGGTCTATCTGCTGCGGACACTGTCCCAGTCTTTCACTCCACGGATTCCTATGGCAAGCACAGGAAGAAGCTGACCCAGTTCTATGTCAAACACTTCCAAACCCTCCAGATCACAAGTGCCCATGCTACTCCGAAGGCGAACGCCGATGGCACGCGCTTGCTGGGAGATTTCCAGTCCCCAGTTGCTGCCATGGTGACTGTGACAGCAGACCCGCAGCACGATTTGTTTGCTTTGAGGAGGGTGACCAGGACGGTTCCACGACATATAGTAGCCTTCCCTCTTTCCAATACTAACATGGCCTCCAGGGAAGATCTAATTTGAGAACTTTTCCGCCTGTAGGACGGATGCCTGCGACTACATGGACTTTATTTTCGACCACAGAGATTTGTTGGGCCGCCTCAGCACTGAGCCCTGCCCATGGGATCTTCCAACATTTTCCAGGCCCGACATGACCTTGACAGACAGTCAGCGGGACCTGCTACGAGCTGCGGTTGAAGGAGGTCTGACATTGCCGGTGGAAAACAAACATGAAGATGTGAAGGGCCTCAGGCGGTTTACGCAACAGCCGTATGTCCACAAGTCTGATGAATGGCTGAGTTTGTTCCAAGCTGAGCCGCCGCGAGGCGTTCTTTGCCGCATTGCGCGGCGCTTGGATGTTTCGCTGAGTCCTACCAATGGCCCCTGGCAGTATCCGGAGAAACAAGACTTTCGCGAGGAGATTGCCAGGATGAGGTCATGGTACGAACCTGGGCGCAGGAAGTTCCGCCGTGTACAGGATCTTCGAGACGACAGCGCTGCCCTACTTCCTGGAGCCCCAACAGTGTTCACTGCTAAAGTGAAGAAACATTACGCGCAGCTGAAAACTCCGCTGAAGGAAGAAGGTCTTTGGAAGTGGGCGCTAGTAGCCCGTGGTTTGCATAAAGCAGGTGTGCCTGTGGTCAGCGGCACCATCTCAGTGGAGCAAAAGTGGAGCCACATCAAGTCCATGCTCCCGCAAGAAGCACGACGTATCTCCATGCAGTGGTTCGACATGCTCTCCAACTTGTGCTTCCTTCGGTTGATGTACAGTCATTATCATCATGGAAGTATGCCTTCTTGGACGGACAACGACACCTTGCTTTCACGCAAGCTTGACGGCCTTATTGCTCTGGCCCAATGTTTGTCGAACATGGATGGTGTGTTAGACGAGATTCCTTCAAATCTCGCCAGCACGGTGCCGCTTGAGGCCGAGGGTGACGGAGACCTCGCCGCAGACACAGGCACATCCGCAAGCGCGGTTTTTTGGGATCCGGAGCTTGTCGAAGAAGCCTTTGGCGTCCAGTTCCCCAGTGCCTAGGCCCCAACAAAAACCATTTCCTATTCAATTTCTTCTTCGTTGTCAGACACATGTAAAGCAACCTTGTCCTGTCGTACTCCTCTTAGGCAAGGTGCGTATGAGAGTCTTGCACACCAAGTGGGCTCGGGCCATGGCGCAAGGACTTAAGTGGGTGGAAACGCAAAGGTACCGATCCAAAAGCCTGAACGCAATGAAATTTGCGCAGGCTGGTGAGTGGGTAGTGTTGGGGGACTCCCAGCACATCATGGCCATAGGAGTGTGCGCCGGAAAGGTTGTGCGAGGGTGCAGAGACATTCTCAGCAGCGGTGTCCTTGACCACCTGGACGAGTCGCTACGAGCGGACCTGGAGAGTTACCTCAATGTCGCTCAAAGCTTTGACTACATAACCTTCTCTAGCGTGTGCAACCTGACCGCAGGCGAACCCATCCCATGGAAGAGCTTCTGGAGTCTGCAAAGTGCAAGAAACCCGAAGAATAAGCAAGGTTTCCCGCGTGTTGGAGGACCAGACTTGGCCCCGGCACTATTTTTGTGGACCCAGCAATTAGGAGCTGAATGGATCACTCCTTATGGCAACCCCGGTGAAGAGTCTGAGTAAGTTTGTGTAGTGGCAAAGCCAGTGCCAAGACAGCAGAATTTGCGTTTCCCAGAAAAGTAGTGCTTTCCATTGTCGCCATGGAAATGAACACTGTGATTGAGTTTGAATGTGTTGCTTTCTCTATGTAGCCATGTTTCTGTGGTCCGAACGCGGAGTGGAAGTACGTCGCGCAGCTCCGCAACGGACTTGGAGCTTCATGGCCCCACAGGACTGTCTCGCTCATTTTTAAGACACGGACCATGTGCTGTGACATTTTGCCCACGCCTCTCTTTTTTTCTCTTACACCCGCCGTGGCCACCCAGAATCTGCGAGCCTGCGCAGTCGAAATGCGCTTCGAGGATTTCGAGAGGCGTGAATGTACTGTAAATAGCAACGAACTAGCCGGACACGGCCACGCGACGCCTCGATTAGCGTCCTGCAGTTTGCTGTCACAGCCACCATGAGCTATGAACGCAACGTGGATAGGATAATTCCTAGCTCGTGATCAGGGCGTATTTGCCTTGAGCGGAGTGTGGGCATTGTACAGCTGCATCCTTTGAGCTCGATTTTGTGTGCGGCATCCTGACAAAAAGACAGTTCCATGGGCCCTACCTTTCAAAGCCCCGTGGACAGCGAAACCGTTGAAAAAATTGCAATGCAAAAACACAGTTCCATGTCCAGGCTCACAGCGGCTGAGCGCTGGTCAGTTGTCCTGGTTTGTTCCGGGAAGGAGTTGAGGGAGGAAAAGGTGAAGGGCAAGGTTAAAAAAAGGGAAACGATGTCCAAGAAGCTGCCTAAAACATTTGCTGCCACGAAGAGCAGTTTGTGCAACCCAACATTGCGAACTATTGCGTCCCCAGGTTGGGCACCCCACCCAAACTAAACACAAATATGTTGTCTTTTTTCATGTTTTCTGGGCAGCAACTTTGAAGCAATAATTGCCAATGTTGGCGGCAACGTTTGGACAGATATTCCTATACTGCCTCCAGTTGTTTGGGAGCGGTGTGGTGTGAAAACAATATTTCTGATTTTCGAGCCACTTGCGCAAAGGAAAACGGGTATACTCCAAAACAAAAAAGCATGGCACAGGCTTTTTGAGTTGCGCCATCTACTTGACCTTGTACGCTCGTTGAGTTGCGCCCTGTTGAGGAGTTGAAGTTGAGCGCATTGCCCTTCTTGTCACTAACTTTGCTTCGTTCTTGGTAAGGCTCGCCAAGCCAGAGAAGGCTTCCCGAATTCATTGCCAGCATTCCCATCATTCCCCAAACAGTGTGGTCACACTGAGGGTTTGTTACGGTAGGTGTTAAGGGCTCTGGACCCCAATGCGAGATCTCTAGAGTTTCTGCTGCTACGCCTCTAGACCTCACACACACTGTTTGGGGTCTCTACCCGGGATCGATATAGGCACTTTTTATGGACGATATTGAATCATGAGGCACACTTGAACTTGGGTCCAGGAAGCGCCCGCGGCGGCAGAAGATGCTTACCAAGTCAACAGCACGCCGCCTGAGGAGGAATCTCCCGGGTATGCTGCTACTTTGGCGCAAGCTTTGCAGCAGGGGGAATCCCCAGAACGGGCAGCAGCGCGTCACAAGGTCTTGGAATTTCACTTAATGACTTTACTGTACCTTTTTTTCCTTCAGGCATGTTTGCGCCTGCGTTGGCCACAGTTCGTGTCAGGACCCGGAGACTAAGAGTCCCCCACCCACAGCTGCAACGCAGCACAGTGGGCAGAGTGATTCTCCAGGGCCGAAGCTGGTGGACAATTTCTTCCACTTCGAGTTCTCAGATGCTGTTGCCAACAGGGAGCAGCAAAGGGCAGAGCAGCCAGACTTTGTCCACCAGGCTCTCTCTTCTTTGGCTGGTCTCTCCAATGTGCAGGACATCAACCAGCGCATGTTCCCACCGAACCTCTTCGACGGGATGAGCAGCCAGCAGGATACCATCTCCACCATCCACGCATGGCTGCAACAAGCATGGTTGGACGCCCAAACAATGTCGCATAGAGATCTGGCGACGCAGGATTTTGATCTGCGATTGTGTGGCCCACTTCCATGGGTCCGCGCGATGCAGGCCATTGCCCTCCACGATGGCCTTTGCCCTGAGTCGCTCAACTTGGCATTGGATGCCAACATTGGCTTCATGGAGCACCACGCCACTCGCCTCCTTCATTCCCCAGACAGCACCCACAGGGGGGTCTCCCCAAATCCTTCCGTCATGTTGGGCGCCGCGGTCTCTGCTCGCAAATCGCACATCACCGAGCTGACCGACGGGTTTCTCGCAGACGCTGAGCCGGCAGATGCAGAGGGTAAGCCGGGGTACATCAAGCAAAGGAAAATCACATTTTCGGATGCAACCCTGGCAGGCATACGCAAGGCTTTGAAGACCTACGGCAGGGCAATTGTCTCAAGCGGGGAAGCTTCCACAGTGTATGAGACACCATTTTCTGGTCGTCGGCCAGGTGTCCACTATTTGCCGGAGCATGTGATGAACAAACTCACTCAGAGCGAGATGGACGATGCTATTACTGCAGGGGTAGACACCCACTTGGGGGACGCAGACCACCCATACCTTATGCTGCACAAGATCTCCGGGCAGCAGGACCGAAGCACCTTGTTTGACGTCGCCATATACACTATATACCTAGTATGCGTCAACCCAAAACCTTTGCCCACATGCTTGCAGGAAGTCATCGATACAATCCTCAAGCCCGCGACGCACGGCTTTCAGAAGCGCTTCTGGTTCGCCGTAACACCAAAAGGCTTGCAGCATGACGATTCTGCGCCGGTGCAAAGTGCATTGACCTTGGTGGCCAAGCTTCACACGTGGATGTTTGACCACTTCTTCTACCATGAAGAGGACAGTGCCCAACACAAGCACGTCTTGGATGGGTACGCGCTGCACCTTTACGAGTGCTGCAAAAAGGCCTGTGAAGATTTCAAAGCAGAACACACTGATTTGGACCAGTACGTCGAGGCCAAAATTGATTTCAGACATTCAGACCTTCTGCGCGCCAGTCATATTGCCATGAGGAAAGTGCAATTCCTCCACAGCATAGCGCTGGGAGACTCTTCCAGGCCACCCCGAACCAGCCCATCCATTTATGAATTTTGCTTCGCTCTCCACAACTGGAGGAGGCAAATCTGCCTCCACTTTTGCTACCTCCAGTGGATGCAGCGTGTTGGGGCCAAGCTTCTCATGGAACTAGCTGCGGGCTCCAAGTCCGCGGAGGCGCAGAAAGCTCACTATGTTGCAGGAGAAGGTGCCTTCACTGCACATAGGCACCAGGACCCGCAAATGTGCATGTATTTATGACCAACTCAGGCTTGGAGGGGGACGACTACTTCAAATACAGGATCCTCACAGACATGTCCGGCGCCTTCAGCACCAATGCCATCAGGTTGAAGTACCGCAACAGTAAAAAGACCAAGGATGGGTGTTGCGTCTCACATCTCGCATTAAATTAGTAGCGCATGTCACAGGTGGGGCCTTGTAAGTTTCACCTCCCCAAAATGGTCCTTATCACGGCAGGAGCTCGCAAAAGCAGACAAGATCAAGCAAATTTGCGAAGAATTGGCGGGGCACGGGTTGCTGTGCAAGGTCGAGGGTGGAGATGCCGAAGAGCCGCCCCAAAAAAGGCGCCGCAAAAACAAGGAGAGAGTGATCTGCTATGAGAAGCCCAGCTTGCACACTCTGTCCGCCGAGGCTGCTCAGGAGCGGGAACGGCTTCTCGTTCGATCTCAGGCCTTCCCGTAGCAGAGTGTCGCCAAGCGTCCACTAGGGTTTTGTCACTCTGATGGCCAAGCCATGGTCTATGAGTGCGAGAATTTAATTTGGCTTCTGTGTCCGGCAGCGGGGTTCCCGGACTATGTGGAGCGTTCGTCATTTTACTTGATTCCACCCAGTTGCTTTCTGTGATGCCCAAGCAGCGGTATCACGTAAGTGCTTCATCATCGAAGGCATGACTCGCAAAAGTCACGTCGTCCAACAGCTCGGTCCACCCAGCTTGTTTTCCCCACCGCCCAAATGCTCAGGAAGATGGGGCAGAGTTTTCAGCAACTGCACCAAAAAAGCAAAACGTCTTGATTCAGAATGCCTGCTGCAGAAACATCTTTTTCCGCTGGGTCGGAACATTGCCAAAGAGGCACTCTAACAGGTAACCGGGAACAAATAGCTCTCAGGGCCACCAGAAACTTGGAAACTTTTGAACTTCCAAATTCATGTTTTCAGGCTTGCCCGCTGACTGTTGCTTTTCAGGTGAGGGCGCTGGTTATGACCCACTGGGCGGGTCAACCGCGATTGCGGGCCGCGTCATCCAGACTCAGAGTCGCCGGCTGCTGGTCTATTGTCCGGTCTGGGTGTGTTCGGGGAAGCAAAGTATACATTCTCGGGGGGATGTGTTCTGAAGGCGCGTGAAGCACAAGCTGAAATACCGCTAGCTGCTAGCAAACGCCTCGGTCTTTGACCAACACCTCTCACCAAACGTCCATAGACGTGTCATTCAACCAAACCGTGCTTGAGAGGTTGCAAAGACATCGGACCGATAATGACGTGAGCCCCTTTTGTGAGGTATGCGCGCAGATCGATCTTCAGAATGAAACTTGCTGGCAGCGGCGTGCTACTGCAGCTTCCAGCTCTTTGTTTCCACGGACGCTTGGCGCTGAAAGCAGGCGTATATGTGGCCTGGCCAGAGACATGGCCATCATAAAATTGCTGCCTGATTGAAAGGCGGGAGGCTTGTGGAAATACGGGCAGACCATGGACTGCGCCCTTAGCCTTCCAAGACTGTTTCTGTTATGGTTGACCTAGTGTCGTTATGTCAAATCCTTAGTTGCGGAATAGTTGGAAAGACTGTGGACTCAATGGTGGTTCACACCCTAGGAATGCTGCTACAGCATTTCTGTTGGTAGACGACGAGTAGTCTTTTTGTTTCGATTCTATGCTCTTGTCCCAGCGAATCCTTTTGTAATTGTCTAGGGTCTACGCAGGTAAAATTAGCTCCAATCTCCAAGAAGAGGACCCCCACACCAAAGCAACCGATGATGACAGGGTCGGAATGGCCTCTGTCATGAGTGCTTGCCACTGAAATTGTAGGCTTCACACCTCTAGTTACATGACTTCGACCTTTTATCGTTGAAGTTGTATATCATTTCCATGCACTTGACCTAAGTCATCGGAGCTCAGTCTACAGATAGTCATCTGGGATCCATTTAAGACATGAATCCAAAATAGAAGCTTATGAGCGCTCCGCACACTCGAAATGTCGAGAGTCCTCCCCTGCACAGTAATTTAGGCTTGAAAGTACGACAGGCGCGAGAGCCATGTAGGTTTGTCATCAATGATCAAACATTCTGCGGCATGCGTTCTAGAATCTAGCATGTTCTAGAACTTCTTGGAGATCGCAAGTTTACTTGACTTCAACATGTTTCGACGTGGTTCTCGTTCATCCTTGCGGTCCACAGACCTGTTACACCTCTGAAAAGCTCCGGTAAACTGATAGTGGTCCTTCGTCGTGGCCACAACCACCTGTTGGATTGAGGCGCGCGGCGCCCGAAGCAGAATCCTACGATTCACCGAGGGCCACTGCTGTACAACCAAGAATATCGCCTGTGTATGAGCGCAGAACAAGTGATCAGGGAGGATCGCTTCCAAACTTGATTTTGCATGCAGAAAATAAAAGTTGAGTTTGCGGGGCCTGAAATGTGCAACAGCAAACGAACGCGCGTGAAAACCATGTGGGCGGAGCAATAAGGTTTTTTCCACGAAGAGGGGTTGGAAGTTGGAAGGGTTGATCTATTTTGTTTACGCTGTATGTGAAAGGCGGCTTGCCCTGAAAAGGTTTGTCTTGAAAAAGGTGACTTACAAAGGGACTACCTCCCTGTGTTTGTTTGAAAGAGGAATGGTGATAAGAGGGACCCTTGATCTAGGCGAATTTGGACAATCTTGACTCCCGGACATCGAAAAAAGGGTCCAAAAACAACATCGCTCGAATCAATTCGAGACCAGGCTTCGATAATAGGTTTGATGTGGAAAGAAGCGTCAAGTCTTCAAAGCGTGGATGCTGCGAAACCGCAGAGCGTCCAAGACCCCATGCGTCGAAGCCTCGAGGCGTAGAGGCTTCCAAAGCCGCCAAGCGTCGAAGCTACGAAGCGTCAAGGAGTCGAGCTGTGGAGGCGTTGAAGCCGCGAAGCCGCGAAGCAATGCAGCCGCGAAGCGTCAAGGCGTCGAGGCGTCGAAGCCGCGAAGCCGCGAAGCCACGAAGCGTCGAGGCGTGGAGGCGTGGAGGCGTGAAGGCGTCGAAGCCGCGAAGCCGCGAAAGCGTCGAGGCGTGGAGGCGTGGAGGCGTGCAGGCGTCGAGGCGTCGAGGCGTGGAGGCGTGGAGGGCCCGTTTCCCGAACCCATGTCCCCATACCCTCTTCAAGAAGAGCCTTCGGAATCGGCTGCGACGGTGCAGGTGATTCCGAATTCCATTGTTGGGAGTCTATGCAGCTGGAATTTGGATAATTTGAGGATTATGAGGGGCTCAGAAATTGGCGACACATGAAGGGCTCAGGAGAGCAGAAACTCCTACTCAAGATGACAGACATGTCCGATGATTTCTGAGACCATATGAACCGATCGATCTCTTGTTGTCTTCAGTAGAAGGATCTTCAGAAAAAGAACATTGTGCGATCCACAAGCCATCACAAGCCTATGGGGTGGTTGACGGGATCTGAAGATCGGTGGAAAAGACCGAACCAGCGCTACTTACTTTCTTGTTAACTCAAGAGTCCAGAGTCTACGTACTTTCCCTACAGTGGAAGTTGCTGGATAGCCTTGTCCTTGGTGTGAGTCTCTGTGGTCGAAGGAATGTGTGAAGAAACTCTCTCGCTGTCCATGACCCCATTGGGTGACTCTATGACAAGAGGAAGCCAGACATGTGAAGTTGGATGCCAGGGGCCTCCAAGTGAGCTGCTAAATGTTGCTAACTTGATTTGAACTGAGGCCTCCATTGCTCGAGCTGTGCTGAGAGGTGCAGAATTTCCGGTGATTGCCCTGCCTTTAGTCTCCGTTGAGGGTCCACACCATACTGGTTGGGAATCGGGCAGATGATTCCGGGATGACGTGATTATATTCATCAAATCCCAACCATTCAAAAGGATACTTGCCTAGAGAATGGGACCTTCCGGTGCCTCTAACTCATGGTTTTTTCAAGAATCCCGATCTGGGAGACAGCAGGACGCTTTGAGTGCTTTATGTATTGACCGTTGTGTAAAAGGTCAAATGCTTCAAGACTGTGCCTCCGTCAGATCGTCACTTGCCAATCGCGAGGCGACCTTGAGACCTTTGAGAAAGAGGCCATTGCGCTAGCCTTGCCGCTGGGAATCTGGGAAGCTGGTTCATCCCTGAACAGCCATCTCAAACACACGTGGCACCCAGAAAAGGGGCATCCTTCGTTTCAATCTCTGGCCTTTTTTGTGGATTGATGGAAGCTCGCCGTGAGTGGCTGCACCTGCGGGTGCCATGTCTTGCCAGTTTGGGACTTGGAGGCTGAGCGGCTCCGCGGGAGCTTAGTGCACAGCCGCGGGAGCTCGGATGAGGATACACTCCTTAAGCAGCTGGCAGAGGTGCAACACATTCGGGGGGGCAGATGGTGTGAAATCTGACGGGCACTGGAAGAAAACCACGGGATCTTCCGATTCCTGGACTTTGGGTTTGACGCGCAAATCCTTGGAATCGAATAAACGACTGAAGGCATTTGCAAATGGCAGTGCTCCAGGCCCTCCTTGTCGGAAACTCTGGTAGTTCAGTTGGGTGACATATCATGATGAAACGACCAAGAGACTGCCCGGGGCAGCATACTAAATTTATGATCCTCCAAGTGCGCTCAACGCGCCAGGAAGCTGACAGGGATGATATACACGGATATGATAAGTCGATGTGGCCTCAAATCTCATCACTGGGTGTGCGAACAGTCCCGCAAACGTGTCAAGCTTTGGTTGGATTCCCCGTGCTGCAAGGTTGAACGCTCCTGTAGAACACTCCAAGGTAGAACTCCCAGGCCAGAACATCCAGGCTAGAACACCCTGTCTCACCTTATCACTCCAAACCACTGGGTGTAGAGGAAAATGGTCTTCCTCTGGTCAATTCTTAGTTTCCATGGGATCGTTTGCGGGAGGGCAGGGGCAGCTCCAACCGGAAGCATCGAAGCATCGAACCTTGTCCAACCCTGTTGAGACCGCTGTCCCCAACCTGCCCCAGAGGCGACGCTCCATGGGCGCCCAGAGGTCTTCCGACGCTGCGAGCAGCAGCTGCGGCAGCGGTTTGAGGTGAGGAAAGCAGATGACAAACCATTGGATGTCAAAAGTGTTTCGGAGTCGAATCCCTACTTTGCAAGGTTCATATTTGCATCTATTTGCATCTTGTGTGTCATTGTCTTGATGTGTCAACAACCAACTTACTACGAACCATCATTCTCGTCTACAAACAAATTAAGGGATATTGGGCGGCCGGAGCTCATCCGTTTGATTGGTCCATCCCCACACAGAACAGCCGGATGGGTGAACTCCGTTAGTCCGCAGTGAGATCCAGGCAAAAGCAGCTCAGACTCGTTCTAGACCAGTGCTTCAGATATTTCACGATCGTGCATGGAGCGATGCCAGTTCTTCAAGTTCCCACCATCAGTCTGAAGTCGGACCGCATTCACCATTCGGGTTCCAGCATGCCAGGCTTCCTCATCGGTCGCTGTCGAGGACCGACCGAAGATGTGGACACGAACCGGCGGACGGTCCAGAGAATGACCGGTTTCATGGTTTCCAATTGGTTTCCAATTGGTTTCCTGGTGGATTTCATCCGTGGACTCTTTACGAATTGAAGCACAACGACCGGCCACACGCAGAGAAGTGAGCGAAGCGAGTTTGCAGGATGACATCTTTTCCTCTACATTCTCAAGCTGTGTTTGTTCTCAACCATTTGGTATTGCGAAGATGTTCATAAAGCTTTGGACACAAAGTCTTGGCAGATCTAAAATGCTCGGGATTGGTTTGGTCACTGGAAGGATTTCTAAGGGCGGTCGCTCCAGGACAGTGCCTTGGAATCCTTCCGGAGGCTTCGAGCCGCTCTTGAGGCACGCTGCTCCACTCCACAGACGAATCCTGAACTCATGCTGTGAAGCAGCTTCTTGTTACTACTAGTAAGGCACTTGTTGCTAGAAGCGATGCACTTGTTCCTAGTAGCTTCTTGTTTTAAGCAAATTTTAGCGCCATCCTGCGCCATCTGCAGATCAATCGGAGCCATGACGCAGCATCAATCGGAGCCTGTTGACCATGATTGAAGTGAGCATTGGTTCCAAGCTGTGTTTGAAGCTCCACATGTCCTTCCCGGCGGAACCAGACTGAACCAGACTTCTTTAGATGTGAGCCCCCAAATGAGGTTTTCCCATTAGACAACTGAGAAAACCTTAGTTGTGTCTGCCTGATCCGAGTAGTTTGTGGGCAGGTTCAATCAACACTGGAAGAGATTCATCCCACTCCTTTCTTCGAGCTCTTGGATGAGCTGGAGGAGAGACGGGTTGAACAAAAGGACTGGGGCAAATCAACCGGTGTGATTGGCGCTTTGTTTTGCTCTTGCCCTCCCAGTATTTTCAAGAGTTGGTGCTTGGGTGCCTCAATGCTTTTCACAACTTTTAACCATGTCGAAATCGCAAGTTGTTTCCGGGCTTTGCCTGTTCTGAGTTCACCCCGAAGTGCCATTTTCTGCCTTTGTGCAGACCCCAGCAACGATCTCTGAGCGATGAAGGTGGTAGGCCACCTATCATTCTTATAAGCAGGTGAGTTGCTCCAAAGACTTGTAAGTCTTCGAGCAGCTTAGATTGTGAGAGATGCTTGGGCTTTTCTCTTGGGTTAACAATTGCTTGGGATTTCATCTGTTTCCACAAAACATGCTTCTTCAAGGAGCTTGTCCTCGGTGCACACTCAGCAGAGGCGGAGTACCAGGGCCTTGTAGGGGCGTGTGGCTGTTTGAAGGATTCGTTCACATAATCAGACGCGCGATTCAGTCTTGCTGGATTGTTCATGCTAACCCGAAAGAATTAGACACCGAGATAAGTGAAGCGTGGTAGATCGTATTGGGGAAGACTGCGGTCAATTTATCAAGGGAGAAGTTTCCCACAAAGAAAAACAGGAACCCGTATGTAGAGTATTTAGAGCAAGGGAGCTCCGAGTATTGGAAGTCTTGCCACGATACACCCTGACCGTTGGGAAGGTTGTTTGATGCATGCAAGAATCCCAGTGTTGAAAGAAGCATCAAGAAGCTGTGGAAGATTCACTGATGGCCCATACCACGACCCTAAACCCTAAACCCTATCCATTCCCCAATGGACTGCAAGATCCATTGGATCAGAGGCGCCTGCTTCAGTTGATCGAGATCCCAGGCTGTGGGAAGATGGATAATGGCATGGAAGGGGATATGGAGATGTACAAGACAGGATTTCATACTTTGTCGATGGTTGTCAGCTCCGCATCGCCTGCAAATAGGACGACACGACCTTGCAAAGATTGCTGGCCAGCTTAAGCTGCTTCAAGCTTTTTCGCAGGCTGAGCTTTGTGCCTTTGGTGCCCCTGATCTCTACAGCCCTGGAGAATCTCCAGAAACGTGGTCTTGATGACGACTGTGATGGTGGGGTGGTTCTACAAAAGGTGGGGTGCCGGATACAGACTCAGGCGTAGAGTTGCTGATTGTATAGAGTTGCTGATAGCGATGTTTCTGCACTGTTTTAATTTCAGAAACATCTCTAAACTGAGGAGGGCCGACAGCGAGATTTAAACCAACTCATCCAAAATGATCCCAAATGTATATATCGATATTGTCATGAATGTGGTGGGGACCTCATGGCCTATTTCGCGCCTTATGCACCGGTGTGCCATTTGAACCAGGCCGCACAAGCACTCCTTTATGCCGCAGATGACCCGTCGGACGTGACCGCCGAGCTGCGCAGCACCTGGCGGCGCAGGGCTCTCGGCTTGTTGAGGCCGTCAACTCGGTCAGTCTTCGGAGAGAAGGTTGACAAACTGACTGGTGCGACTCGTAGAAAATGAGGGACTTTGAGGGAGTGACCCCCCAACTACAGATTATTTAGGATCCATTGCCTCATTCCCTACAAGTCTGAGTCGCACGAGCCAGCAAAGGAGGTTTGGCGATGTTCTTTTGAACACCATGTGGCCCAGGCTCATTTCCCAAGCAGGGTTGGGCGGAAGCTTTTTTTGTGGTCTGTTTTATGTGTTGAGGCTTGAATGGAAGATCTTGAAAGAGGAGCAACCATGGCAACCAATGTATGCATATATTGATGGTGGTCTGGTGCACAAACCGTTTCCGGGAACGTGCTGATGGTGTTGGATGTTCCAACTGAGGGTGGGTCTGGAAAGTCTCGCTTCTTCGCAGGCGTGCAAGGGAGCTCATGCAGAGTGAGCCTGACTTAGCAGAGCTCTGTTCCGTAGCGCCTTGAACAAGACACGAACGGTGGAGGCCTTGGGGTGGTGGGACTGAACATTTGAAAACCAACATACGCCTGTGTGCGCATGTTGTTGTAAGCCTCCGTCAAAAGGCAGTGGTTTTTGAACAGTTTTCAGGTCCACACATGTGAAAAGGGGCTTAAGCATGGGACATAATAGGTCAGGACATGATAGGTCATAGGTCTTTCTTGAGAGCTTGGCAGACCTCTGGAAAGCCAGGTACACATTTCGCTCCGTGAAATGCTATGCTGAGCTTCCAACAAGTTCCGATGACCACTTGATGCGATGGTATCAGACGGTGTTGGACGGGAAGAGAACACATATATATATATATATCAGAACCTACCATCAGAGGATGCCCCAAAAGTGAGAACAGGTGTCAGCACATGAACTGCACCTTTTTTTTCCTTTCCTTTTTCCGTAAAACTTTCGATGCATTTGGTCCTCCACGCGCAGAGCGCGTTGAACACTGGATCCACTCCGAGGCCACCCTTCAGATGGATCTCACCGAGGACGGGCCGAAAGAATCTGCGCTTCGCGGAGACGAAGCCTCGTTCGGTGTAGGAGACGGACCCTCGTTGTAGGGCTTGTCGGACTGGGCTGCTAGAGTCGGTAGCATTCAAGGTTGTACTATATAGAACTCTAGAACCTTCCATTCTACACTTTGTAGTGTCTCCACCAGGGAACTAGTAGTAGTCTAACCGTCTAACCGTTAACCTTGAGCTACGGTGTCTCTGACCGTGAGATGGCGTGAAACTTTCAGTAACAACATACGCCGTGAGGGACTGCCATGCGGCACATACTCTGGTGCTGTTGGGCTAGATGCCCTGTAGATCAACTGCAGTTGTGGTTCATTTTGGGGTCAACCGACCAAGGTCGGCCTGCACGAAAAGTCTTTCCACAGCAGGAGCGGCTACGGCGAGCCGAAATGGCTGGTGGAAAAAGAAGGTGAAGACTTGGTTTGGTCCAATCCCAAGGGGATTCTCCCATGTCCATCTCATGTCTCCCATGTTCAGAAGAAAGAACTTCAGGGGATTCTCCTATGTCCATGATGTCCATCCAAAAACCTATGTAGTCCTCAGCTGGAAGCGGTTTTTTGGGTCGCGCTGGCCGAGTTGCAGCAGTTGGACAGTGAATATGTTCGTGGCGTCGGCGTCGGGCAGGTTTGTCTGACTTGGCTCAAGATTTTCAGGTTTCAGATGTTTCAGGTTCAGCACAGCGCTCGTTCCAAGGAGATGGTCCACACAGCACGAGATACTTCAGGATGTTTACAGGGTTTTACATTGAAGGATGCATCAAATAGTTTCAAGGGGCTCCGGAGTCAATTTCACAGGGATGAGGGACTCTCAACAGATTTCTTCTCTTCACGTCAACTGCTGTCGGAGCCATTGGAGCCAACGCCGTGGAGACATTGGACATGTTTGAGGACCTCCGTGACGTGTCGAACGAATGGTGTTAAATGGTGCATCGACCTCGATGCTGTGGAAAGGGAACTACAACCATGAAGGAGATCGAACATCGAAACTTGGGGTTGTTTTTGGTTCTATGTGTAGGGTTTACTAAAAGAAGAGCTTCTCCGAATTTGCTGGCAAGAAGTAAAGGACTTTCTATGGCTTTCTCAATAGAACGAAAGGGGGGACTGGTTCGCATCGATTGTTTGGCATCCCAGGAGGCCAACAGGTGGCCACTCGGTCATCGGAGTAGCTGAGTTGGAGACATTGGTAAAGCATGGACGATACTCGCAATACTCGTGGGGGGCGAGGTTTCTGTCCAACTCTGTCCATTTCATTGTTCTTAAGGGATCTATATACAGTCTATTACATAATATATATATATATTAAACATACGCATCAGGCATCACCAGGCTAATGATCCATGCCAATCAGGTGAAAGTCAATTTTTTCATTCGTGTGTTCACCCATCTTGAATGATGATGCAACTCCGAAGTCCGAGCTCCACTTTAAGAGGCCGATGTGTATAGCTAGATGAGAATAGAATAGAATAGAGCTTACCTACGGTTGTCACCGGGGGTTCGACTAGTTTGATTGTGAATCGGAAAGTCAGCTATCCAGGAGCCAAGCAATGTCTTGGGAATCCTTGCCCTGCTGCCCGTCTTAGCATGGTGGCCAAGTCGGGTTTGGGAAACTGGCAGAACCTGGTACTGATATGCAATGGTTACACAATGTTACATAAACGTCCCCAATTACATAGAACCATCTGTGACTTTCCCCTCTTTTTGAGTTTTGAGACTACTTGGTGCAGACAATGAATCCTGACCGGGTAGGGTATGATGCCTCAAGCGCTACTGTACATGATTGTTTGATATTTCAGTGGACTATGTCAATCTTCTGCCGGCACTGGCATGGGTAAGTCTTCAACAGGCAGGCCAAAAAGTGTTGTGACGAAGGATGTTGTTTCTAAGAGGCTGCACACATTCAAAAGATTTGTCAACTGAGCGACAAACCCAGCCAGGATAGCAGATTCAGTTTCAAAGATCGGCCGTGTTTGATTTTTTTTTGATTACAATTTATATGAACTGGATTAAGACGTAAAGTCCTGCCCTGTTAAAGACTTCAAGCCGGTCTTTGACCGCAAGTGCTGCCAAGCTTTCATATAAACAGATCGACTCACCAAAGATATCCAATGATTGAATGTGGAGAACACCTTGTTTGTAGAGGACAATGGGCCCAATACCATCCCCTTCCATGTTTGTTGCTCTGAGTGTCTAGATGGGGTGAGACAATGTCTTCCATTCTTCCATTTGCGAGGTGCTTTTTGCTTGGCGAAGGCTGCGGCCTGCGCCGTTTGTGGAACTCTCACGGCCGAGGCCACGGGGAAGTGGGAGAGTGTAGTCAGCCATGGCCAAAATAGAGGGAACCGTCCAAAGATCGCGGTTTTGGTGGATTCGCTTTATTGAAAGGGGCGGTGGCGGGGTTGTTTAGTTTCATTCGATATATATATATATGTATAATGTATACATTGCATAATGTACGCGCACACACACACACGAACATACAGGGGCAGACTTGTAGCATATTGATACGAGTGTGGTATTTTGCTCAAGAAGAAATAGGGTTTGTGGGCTGGGGACTGAGCTGCTTTATTGCCTGTCAATAGATTTAGACTGTTTTCGTATCCTGATTGGTTCACCAGCCCAGCTCCATTATCATACAAAACTACTGTACTATTAATGGTTCATTGATTGTTCATAAACTATTTTTTATTTTGTGTTGCCCCTGTCCAAGTCAAGCTGGCGGCTCACCTCTTGCTTGCCTGCCTCACGGTCAGGGCTAAAGTGAAGATGCAGTATCCTGGCAGAAAGCGCAGTGCAGTAACAAGAAGCTAGTAGTAACAAGTGCCACGCTAGTAGTAACAAGTGCCTTACTAGTAGTAACAAGAAGCTACTAGTAACAAGTGCCACGCTGGCAGAAAGCGCAGTGCCCTTCAGGATCTCAAGACCCCCGTCCCAGGTGCTTCCAATCTTTGCGCGGATCATCCATTATCCATGTGACACGTCCTGGTTCGCCCTTGAGGTGGCAAACTGAAGCGTTTTGGTGACCGAGGCAAGTGGACAACGCCAGCATCCAGGCTCGTGACCACAGGGCTTTATGTCTCTGCATCATGTTGGGCTTCCCGCCCAACTCGGGGAAACAGGTCCAAACCGGTCAGCAGATATTTGTTAGGGGTCAGTGACCACTATTTGAGGCCGAACACTGACGAACACCTTGCGGGTTTGTTAACACCTGGCATTGAACACATGGTTTCGTCGATGAGATGAAGAAGGCGTGGTAGGTTTTCACTCAACCCCTCAGCTTCTGGGTGGATCTGCGTCCCCACTTCCGGAGCGTCCCTTCCGCATTTCCAGGTCCGTGTTCGATTGGCCTCCACAGGCCAAGAGGCTCCGAGAGGGGGCCGCTGTTCGGAGAATCTTTGGTTGCTCAATGAGTAGAGGCTTGGGGATGATCCAGATCTGATGAATTGTCGTGTATAATATAGTATAATAATGCATGATATTTCTTTCAACGATAAGATGAGGATCAACGAGATAGGCTGGCTACTTTCTCCTTTGCAACCTTCTCTGGGCTTTTCAATTTCCACCAAGGAATGGGTTGTTTGAATTTCAGAAGATATGCCCTGCTACTTGGAAAGACTACGAACCAGTGAACTGGCCAACCACTATGTTCCCAGCCAAAGACTATCCGGTTTTGCAGCAACATATTGGGATGTTTTACTTGTTGAAAGTGAACAGCGGAGCCTGGGGGTCCCGGGGCTCTTAAATCACCTCCCCCACCCACACCCAAACCACCCAATACACGCTCAAACCGAAAGAAAGCAGACTTTCTGTTGACATCTCCAGAGGTGAGATTCCAGTCAATGTAATATGATGCTCGTAACAGTCGTAACATCAACCCTTCCGGCTCCATTTCAACGGCGCACCGAAACGCATTTTTTCCGCAGCGTTTGGGGGTTCACTTTCTTGGACCGGTCATGCTGGCGCTCTGCAATGAAGCCAGCCCACGTGAGCCGGAGACCCTTCCAGAGTTCGCCTACCGAATGCTCTCCACCACAGGCGAAGCTGGGCTTGGTGGGGGTCGCCAAACATGTTGTTTCTTGGTGCTCAGTCACTGGATCAAGACTTGTTGGTGCCACGGCTGTCCGTGTTGCGCCGAGCGACAAGGCCGTCTCACAAGTAAGAAAACGTTGTTTGCAATTCACAGAGTCTGTTCGCTACAGTCGCTACACCAGCTACCGCAAAATGCTGTAAATAGAATCCGGGAAGCCCGCAAGTTCCTTGGTCCTGTACTGGCTGGCTAGACACTTCAACCCCCCTCTGAACACTTCGAGATCGCCCACACAACACGCGTCCAGGCGCCTTATCCGAGAAACGTGCTGCGTGGCCGGTCTATCACAACCTGCTTCGAGAGAGAGAGCCGCTTGGTGATGGACATCAAGCCCTCTGGGGTCACGTTGCACAGGAAGGACAAATACTCCTCAAACATCACAGATGAGCAACCATACTCCTCGAAAAGAGAGGACGGTCCCATGATGTCGCATGCATTTTGTTGATGACGGATGTTGATTCCACAGGTGTTGGGTCGCTGCCCATCCTTGAATTTGGTTCCAAAAATAAGGTTGCCCCACATGCTTGTCGGTGTGAAGTGGAGGTAGGGACACACCCCAGCGCGCAACCGTTGGATGTCTTGGAAGATTGTATAAACTTGGTTTAAACAACTATTAGGTTGGAGGCCATCGCTAGTAGGGTGGAGGCCATCGCTATTAGGTTGGAGGAATGGGGTATGAAAAATGGTCCACCAGTGTGGGTTTGATAGTAGCTCTGCAATGATGCCTCAGCTCGAAGCTGTGCAGCTGTTGAGCTGATCTGGGCTAAGAGATTTTCCCAGGTATGTCTGAGTTCGTGGGCTTTGGCCAGCACAAAAGGCTTCATCTATCTGATCCTATCTCCACATAATTCTGTGCAAACAACTTTCAGACTTTCAGGTGGCTTACCTTTGATGCTGAACAAGGCCAATTTGGCGGAATGTTCCAGCGCCGCATGGCTCAGGAATCCCTTCATCTTTGGCCGTCGTTCCTTCCTGCGAACCATGCAACTGACGGGACCCAGGCGGAGAAAGACAGATGGAGACTGGATGTGAATAGAGGAATGACGTGAACATGTCTTACACACCATGGTTGTTGTACGTTGTTTGTGCAGATCCTAGAACACCAGCAGCGTCGAATTGTTGAGTTTCAACACACGTCGTGGGTGCAAGGTCAGTCAGCATGATTGGTTTTCTTTCGTCTCTTTTGAAGATTTGCAATGCGGGTAAGCTAATCTCCGACTCCTATAAAATGCAAGGGGTTGAGGCCTGATATAAGACCCCCCCCTACAGCATGTTGACGAGTATCATTTGCATGCGTCTCAGTAGTCATGGGTCAATCCACTCCTTCTTT